AGCCTTCGAAATCCAAAGAAAATGGCCTTTCGTCGCCAAAAAAATTACGAAAATGCCATCCGAAAATAAATTGGCCCAAATCGGTGCTTAATGGACTTATCATCCGTGGAGAATAGTATCAATAGACTTCATTATCGGTGGATATAGGCTCGGCCTGATTCCGTGATCTGCAGCCTCCAGAATCGAAAGAAAATGGCATTTCGGAAAAATTGCCCGAAATCTGTGATGGTACCCCTTTGGAATCTGCCAAAAATGGGCCCGGAATAAATTCGCCCAAATCGACACTTAATGGACTTAATCATCGTTGAAGAATAGCCTCAGGCCGAATCCGTGATCTGTAGCCTTCGAAATCCAAAGAAAATGGCATTTCGTCGCCAAAAAAATTACGAAAATGCCATCCGAAAATAAATTGGCCCAAATCGGTGCTTAATGGACTTATCATCCGTGGAGAATAGTATCAATAGACTTCATTATCGGTGGATATAGGCTCGGCCTGATTCCGTGATCTGCAGCCTCCAGAATCGAAAGAAAATGGCATTTCGGAAAAATTGCCCGAAATCTGTGATGGTACCCCTTTGGAATCTGCCAAAAATGGGCCGGAATAAATTCGCCCAAATCGACACTTAATGGACTTAATCATCGTTGAAGAATAGCCTCAGGCCGAATCCGTGATCTGTAGCCTTCGAAATCCAAAGAAAATGGCCTTTCGTCGCCAAAAAAATTACGAAAATGCCATCCGAAAATAAATTGGCCCAAATCGGTGCTTAATGGACTTATCATCCGTGGAGAATAGTATCAATAGACTTCATTATCGGTGGATATAGGCTCGGCCTGATTCCGTGATCTGCAGCCTCCAGAATCGAAAGAAAATGGCATTTCGGAAAAATTGCCCGAAATCTGTGATGGTACCCCTTTGGAATCTGCCAAAAATGGGCCCGGAATAAATTCGCCCAAATCGACACTTAATGGACTTAATCATCGTTGAAGAATAGCCTCAGGCCGAATCCGTGATCTGTAGCCTTCGAAATCCAAAGAAAATGGCCTTTCGTCGCCAAAAAAATTACGAAAATGCCATCCGAAAATAAATTGGCCCAAATCGGTGCTTAATGGACTTATCATCCGTGGAGAATAGTATCAATAGACTTCATTATCGGTGGATATAGGCTCGGCCTGATTCCGTGATCTGCAGCCTCCAGAATCGAAAGAAAATGGCATTTCGGAAAAATTGCCCGAAATCTGTGATGGTACCCCTTTGGAATCTGCCAAAAATGGGCCCGGAATAAATTCGCCCAAATCGACACTTAATGGACTTAATCATCGTTGAAGAATAGCCTCAGGCCGAATCCGTGATCTGTAGCCTTCGAAATCCAAAGAAAATGGCCTTTCGTCGCCAAAAAAATTACGAAAATGCCATCCGAAAATAAATTGGCCCAAATCGGTGCTTAATGGACTTATCATCCGTGGAGAATAGTATCAATAGACTTCATTATCGGTGGATATAGGCTCGGCCTGATTCCGTGATCTGCAGCCTCCAGAATCGAAAGAAAATGGCATTTCGGAAAAATTGCCCGAAATCTGTGATGGTACCCCTTTGGAATCTGCCAAAAATGGGCCAGGAATAAATTCGCCCAAATCGACACTTAATGGACTTAATCATCGTTGAAGAATAGCCTCAGGCCGAATCCGTGATCTGTAGCCTTCGAAATCCAAAGAAAATGGCCTTTCGTCGCCAAAAAAATTACGAAAATGCCATCCGAAAATAAATTGGCCCAAATCAGTGCTTAATGGACTTATCATCCGTGGAGATAGTATCAATAGACTTCATTATCGGTGGATATAGGCTCGGCCTGATTCCGTGATCTGCAGCCTCCAGAATCGAAAGAAAATGGCATTTCGGAAAAATTGCCCGAAATCTGTGATGGTACCCCTTTGGAATCTGCCAAAAATGGGCCCGGAATAAATTCGCCCAAATCGACACTTAATGGACTTAATCATCGTTGAAGAATAGCCTCAGGCCGAATCCGTGATCTGTAGCCTTCGAAATCCAAAGAAAATGGCCTTTCGTCGCCAAAAAATTACGAAAATGCCATCCGAAAATAAATTGGCCCAAATCGGTGCTTAATAGACTTATCATCCGTGGAGAATAGATTCAATAGACTTCATTATCGGTGGATATAGGCTCGGCCTGATTCCGTGATCTGCAGCCTCCAGAATAGAAAGAAAATGGCATTTCGGAAAAATTGACTCGAAATCTGTGATGGTACCCCTTTGGAATCTGCCAAAAATGGGCCCGGAATAAATTCGCCCAAATCGACACTAATGGACTTAATCATCGTTGAAGAATAGCCTCAGGCCGAATCCGTGATCTGTAGCCTTCGAAATCCAAAGAAATGGCCTTTCGTCGCCAAAAAAATTACGAAAATGCCATCCGATAAATAAATTGGCCCAAATCTGTGCTTAATGGACTTATCATCCGTGGAGAATAGTATCAATAGACTTCATTATCGGTGGATATAGGCTCGGCCTGATTCCGTGATCTGCAGCCTCCAGAATCGAAAGAAAAGATGGCATTTCGGGAAAATTGCCCGAAATCTGTGATGGTACCCCTTTGCAAACGCC